AAAAGAGAGATTAATTAAAACTCCAAACATACATCAGCAAATCATCATTCTCTCAAGACGAACGTACGATTCTGAAACAACTTTCCTTCCCAACGTTCCCTAAGATGTTGTCGCAATGCAGAAAGACCCAAAACACAGAAATGGAAAGAAAGAAAAAAAAAAAAAAAAAAAAAACGAGCGAAATGAAACACGATTCCTTGAGTCCCCGAGACCAGCCTAAGCCGCTTACCTTGCTCGTGTTGCCAGGGGCGTCGCCGGAGATGCTGGTGGAGGAAGGGGGCTGCGTGGGCGCGCTCGCTTCGTGGGCGTCGGAAGGCTCGCCCGCTGGAGTGGTGGGCGTGGACGACGACTCGCTCATGCTCGCGTACTGGAAGGGGAAAACGGGCGGTCAAGAAGCGCTGTGCGAGGACGGAAACTCAATAAAGAAAGAAAAAGAAAGAATGTATACTGTGTGGAAGTGTGGGCGGATGCAGGTCTATCCGAGAGGTCTGCTGCCTCTTTCGGGTAAGAGCAGGTAAGTACCTAACTTATCGTGAGTACAGGTATGTGACTTTCTTATACTGGAACAATAACCACGGTCGGGACTTTTAATGCGCGGTTTTAAAAGCAATCACACAAGCACAAGACGAGACTTTTCCATCCTCTCCATCAATAGCCTCGAAGATGACGTTGCGGCAACAAATTTCGTTTTCTTACCGAAACCGAAATACAACAAAAGAAAGAAAAACGAAGATTATCCGTTTTTTTTTGCCGAAACCAAAATACAACAAAAGAACGAAAAACGAAGATTATCCGTCTTTTTTTAGCCGAAACCAAAATACAACAAAAGAAAGGAAAAGGAAGATTATCCCTTCCACAGTACATCTGCAACTCTTCCCTTCACCGAAAGGCAACTTTAGAATTCGTACCCCCCTAAAATCTGTCAGATAGTGAAACGGGGCGGCCATTGTCCGTAGATTTCGGCCGCCCATTGTTGGTTCCCCGGCGCGCGCCTTCCCCCCAAACCTCCGTGGCCTTATTACCTCTCGGCGCTGCCCCTTTGTGCTGCCAGCCCTGTCGCCGGCGCCCAAACACCCTTTAATAATCCCCACCGGCCTTCCGTTTTAACTGTTTTCCCTCCTAATTCACCGGAAAATAGACATAAGAGTGCTTTTGGAATAAATTACCTAAAAAAAATAAAAAATATACCGTCCGTTTGTTGTCTTCGCGTCTTTGTTGATGCCGATATTTAATAGGAATGGGAGACTAGTATAGCCTTTTCTTCGTCCCTTCCTCCCCCCCCCCACAAGGTCAACATCTACAAGGAACGCCCATCTCGACCTCCCGCCCCTCCCGCCCCAACGCCCAAGATTCTAGGCGAGGAGGGCAGCCACGTGCAAGGTCTGGCAAAGGCGCGGAGGCGGTGGGCGTGTAAACATAACAATATCGAGGCTGGAGGGCCAACGTGGGCGTGCGGAAGGGGCACAGAGGACGGAGGGGGGCGGGGCCAGGAGGCAGCGCGAGATGCATGGCGGACATTAAGAAACTGTCTGTGTATGAGGAAAAAAACAAAAAAAAATAAAATAAAACAATGACATTCCAAACAGCCTTGAGTCTGACGCATGGAGGATGGGAAGGAGGAGAGGAGAAGAAGAGGAGCGGAGGGGGAGGAGGGGGGAGGGGGAGGGATGGTGAGGGGGGGAGAAAGGAGAGTGGGAGAGAGAAGGGAGGAGGGTAGTGGGAGGAGGAGGGGAGGGGGAGGGAAGAGAGAGAAGAGAGAGAAGGAGAGAGAGAGAGAGAGAGAGAAGGAGAGAGGAGGGAGGAGAGAGAGAGAGAGAGAGAGAGAGAGAAGAAGACGCGCCCAACAAAGTAAAGATCAAATATACAAGGCAAAAAGCCAAGAAAGGCCAAAAAGAATGAATGTATATTTGTCTTCTTTAACCCACAGGTGTGAGGTACCTGCGGAACGAACTGATTCTCATAACAAAGAGGCTTCTCGTTTATAAATTTGCACACAGACACACGCAATCACAACAGACCACCACACACGCGCCACTCACTCAACAAACACACACACACACACCACTCGCACTCCACAAACAACACACCACCCACTCGCACTCACAAACACAACACAAACACGCCCACTCGCACTCCACAACAACACACACACACCACGCCCACTCGCATCACAACACTCGCACTCACAAACAACACACACACACACCACTCGCACTCACAAACACACACACACACGCCCACTCGCACTCACAAACACACACACACGCCCACTCGCACTCACAAACACACACACGCCCACTCGCACTCACAAACACACACACACACTCCACTCGCACTCACAACCACACAACACGCCCACTCGCACTCACAAAACACAACACACACACTCGTACTCACACACACACACAGAATTACGCCAAAGATCAATTCCGAGCGAGTCACAACGCCACAGCGTCCATCCATCCACGTACATCCACGCAGCCACGCGGTTATCCAAACTCACACTCATTCTCGTAACTTCGCTATGATCACCTCGGTCAATAAAGCCACAGCCCACACACACGCGCCCCCGACACGCCAACGAAACACGCCAGATTCGCAACGGCTGGAAGAGAAATGTCTGAAATCCCGCAATAACGCTGGCATCGTATCAACAATCAATGCTTAGCACACCCACACAGGGATGCAGACAGAAACACACACGCACACACGCACTTGCACTTACAAACAAACACGCACACACACACACACACATGCACTTACAAACACACACACGCACTTACCCCCCCCCCACACACACACTTACCCACACACACACTTACAAACACACACGCACTTACAAACACACACACACACACACACACACACACACAACACAACACACACACACACACACACCACACACTCACATGCATTTACAAACACAATATACAGAAACACACAGACACACACACACACGCGCGCGCGCGCACACACACTCACACATGCATAAAACAACCATAAAAATCACCAATGCTCGATGCAAAGCGAACGCAACGGGAAAGCCAAACACCTCCACCTCGATCCAGGTCAGTCAGCTGATTTTTGCCTGGGGGGAGGGGGGGGGGTGTCGTCACACTTGGCATCATTTGTTTACTTTCTAATCATAATCAATTAGCGCGCCTGTTCTTATCGGCATCTTTGAGGGGAATTTTGAAGCGATATAAAAAGGGGGGGGGAGGAATGGGGAGGAGGGAGAGGAGAGAGAGGAGGGAGAGAGGAAGGAGGAGGGAGGAGAAGAGGAGAGAGAGGAGAGAGAGAGAGGAGAGGAGGAGGAGAGGGAGAGAGAGAGGGAGAGAGGAAGGAGGGAGGGAGGGAGGAGGGTGGAGAGGGAGAAAGAAGAGAATGAGAGAGAGCAAGAAAACAAGAAAATAAAGGCGAAATATCAATTCGAAGAGAGAAAAATAGAAGAGAGAGAGAGGGGTGAGGGGGTCACCATCCCGTGACCTCCTTCCCAAAGCTCTGAAGGATAACCAGCCGGGAGCCAAACCGAGGCGAAACAGCTCCAGCTCCAGCTCACCAGCTCCTCCTCCATCACAATGTTATTCCACTTCCTTCCGCGCTCCATCCATCACACGGGCAAACAGACCTGCCCCGCGAGCTCTTGCCATCACGCCTCCGCGCTCCTCCTCGGGGCTTGGCGAAGCGGAGCAGGGGAGGGAGGTAAACCAAGGGGACAGGGAGGGGAAGGTAAACCAAGGACAGGGGAGGGAAGGTAAAAGGGGACAGGGGAGGACAAGATAAAGCAAAGGGCAGGCGAGGACAAGGTAAAGCAAAGGGGCAAGAGAGGGCAAGGTAAACCAAGGCAGGACCGGACAAACCGTCAAAACATACGCCCCAGCGATCCAACGAGCGCCATCTGCATGTCACCCCCAAGCACTCCTTGCTCACTTTCCCGAACAAAAGCGCAAGTTATTCTCTCGTCTGCCTCGCTTTACTCTCCTCGTTTTTCTCCTCCTGTCTCCTCTTTCTTCCCCGGTCATTACCTTCTCTAGGCACTTCCTACATTTCGCAAGTTATTCTCTCGTCTGCCTTCGTTTCCTTCCTTTTCTCCTCCTCCACCTCTCCCTCCTAATCTTCCCCGGTCATTACCTTCTCTAGACACTTCCTCCATTCTTCCATCAACCAGAAAGTCTGCCAAGAAGTGACGAACGGCGAGGCAGACGGAGGCCAGAGAAAGAAAGATGGGAATGGACAAAGAGGGAAGGGAAAAGGGAGTATCATACGAATTCAGGGGAAAGGGGAAAAGAAAGCTTAATATACAAAAAAAGAAAGAGAAAATAAGAGATAAGTGCGACAGGAGAAAATGAAGTAGTCCAATTACATAAGGAATGGTTGCGGAGGATACAGTAAAAAAAAAAGGCTTGTGTTAAGTGCGTCTGGCAAGGCACGGTGACTAGGCACTAACGTAGGAATGTGCAGAGGCAGTAGGGATAGAGCAGGGGTGAGGGGAGAGGGGATAGAGCAGGGGTGAGGCAGGGGATAGAGCAGAGCGTGATGCAGGGGACAGAGCAAGGGGTAAGACAAAGGGTGGATGGGGGTGAGGCAGGGGACGGGGCAGGGGTGAACCAGGGGAAAGGGCAGGAGTAATGCAGAAGGGTAAGGTAGGGATAGAGCAGAGGGTGAGGCCGAAGGTATGCAGGGGTTTAACAGGGGTTCAGGCAGGGGGCAGAGGAGAGCACGCTACAGATGTCAAAACTTTTTAAAAAACTCAGTCCAATTCTGGTCGATGTGTCAAATGCATTTTAAAACACGCCATACACATTTTCCAGTCACCAAAAGTTAAATTATTACAAAAAATAAGTAAACAAACATGGTTGCGAGGACATCACCGAGACTTTTCCTAATTTTCAAACCTTTCTGACCACTGACGAAGGAATGTTACGACCATAAAAACATAATAATTATGTCCTCCCGCAATGACTTTGTCTACACTGAACTTTTTCTTTCCTCTCTCCCCT